ACACTACACAAACAAGTCCCGATAAGTACGCGGAGTACGGCCGACAAACAAAAACCTCCAGCGCCGCTTGANAAACGCCGTCCTCCTCCATCTCGTCGAGGCGGTTGAAGCTGTGGAGCATGTTGTGGAGGATGCACGCGGTGAACCACGCGTTGTCAACCTTCTGTCGTGTGGAGAACAAGATGTCACCACCGAAAAGCCTCCAGCGCCCCTTGACTCTGCCGAAGCAACACTCGATGTCCTTGCGCATGCTCTCCAACCGCCTGCTCCAATCGTGCTCCTCGACGGTGTTGTGCGTCTTGATCGGTGGGATCAGAAGCGGGACCTGTGATACGGCAGACCGAAAATGACTATCGGGTGTTGGTTTAATGCGAACTTGTGTCGAAAAAACGTGATCTGTCTCCAAGGACTGCGCAAAGGGGCAAGGCGTGCCAACAAATAAATCCTTGACAACTGAATTAATAGACACTTACGCTCCCACCCCCTCCCCAAGCCAAAACAACAAACAGCTAGGATGGACGGGAATGCAAAACACGAAGTGGTACGGGTACACGTAGTAAGTAGAGTACGGCAACGTGAGCTGATCCCGGAGGGGAATAATACACACGGGTTCCCCACCATGACCGGAGCAACAGAAAAAGCAAGGACCGAACGCGACGGGGCTTCGCCAGAGGTTTTCGCACTTACACATATGACGCTTCTGTGGGCGGGGGTATGTCAACAATGTACGGGCTAGGCTAGTCACGCCCATCCACACCAACAACAAAAAAGTGGCCAAAAACCAACAACCGAAACTAACCTTGGGGTACCCCCCGTCCACGATGATCTACGCCCCTGTGTACTCCGTCTCCGTGCCGTCGGCGTTGTAGAGCTTGAACTTGTAGCTCTTCCACGGCTCCTCATCTCGTATTCGCCAGATGGACTTGTCCCGTGCGATGACCCCGGGTAAGTCTTGGTTGCCGCGATCATGCGGCCAGAATGGTCACACGTGCACTCCGCCACCAGTGACGTGTAACCCTCCTTGCANTATGTCAACAATGTACGGGCCAGGCTAGTCACGCCCATCCACACCAACAAAAATGTGGTCAAAAATCAACAACCGAAACTAACCTTCGGGTACCCCCCGTCCACGATGATCCACGCCCCTGTGTACTCCGTCTCCGTGCCGTCGGCGTTGTAGAGCTTGAACTTGTAGCTCTTCCACGGCTCCTCATCTCGTATTCGCCAGATGGACTTGTCCCGTGCGATGACCCCGGGTAAGTCTTGGTTGCCGCGATCATGCGGCCAGAATGGTCACACGTGCACTCCGCCACCAGTGACGTGTAACCCTCCTTGCAGGTGTGGGTGTTCTTCTCGGAGAACGGGCAGCCCGGCCAACGGAAGTGGGTGCAGTCCGTAGATCCCGTCGCCCCCGGGTAACCATACTTGCGGTAGATCTCCTCGACCTTCTTGAGTGAATCCCCGCGCAGGAGTTTCACCCAAGTGTCCCAGAGGCCCTCGGAGAACTTCTCGCAGAAATGGTGGAAAGAAGTCTCCGCGGTCGTGCGGCTCGTCAGAGAGAAGGAAGCGACGTCCTGGAAGCAGCATCCCGACGCCAACACCTTCAAAGTGCCCAGCACCGATGAATGATACAGCAGTGCAGGGGGCACACACAACGGCGGGCGGCGGCGGCGGCGGCGGGGGGTTGTAAGCTGTCATGCGAAGGGAATAAATACTCTTTCACCAAGCGTGGCTCGAATGTATACTCTTGTATCATCGAGAGAGTTGACGAGCTTTGCTGGAGACGACGAGTGGGCAAGTACAGCAGTAGGGGTGTGCCGGAGTGTTGAGGATTTTTTGCAGCAGAGTGCGTACCATTTTGACGGTCTTGGCTTGCTGCTGCAGCTCCGCGCACGTGTGTTACCTCGAGGGCGTCACACCCCTGCTTCGCGAAGGGAATGCATACTCTTCTACCAAGCTGTGGCTCGCTCATTAAACGAACACAAAGTGCAATCCTTCGCACATCCATCGGCATTGTTGAATGTAACTGCTGCTTCCATCATACTTGCACGGGCTACTTTTCGAGAGTGTCGACACCGAGTGTGACACCTCGGCCAGCAGCGCCGTGCACACGTAGTTGGAGAGGGAGTGCGCTTCTTTATCATCTACAGCATCTGGTCAAACACNTCCCAGAGGCCCTCGGAGAACTTCTCGCAGAAATGGTGGAAAGAAGTCTCCGCGGTCGTGCGGCTCGTCAGAGAGAAGGAAGCGACGTCCTGGAAGCAGCATCCCGACGCCAACACCTTCAAAGTGCCCAGCACCGATGAATGATACAGCAGTGCAGGGGGCACACACAACGGCGGGCGGCGGCGGCGGCGGCGGGGGGTTGTAAGCTGTCATGCGAAGGGAATAAATACTCTTTCACCAAGCGTGGCTCGAATGTATACTCTTGTATCATCGAGAGAGTTGACGAGCTTTGCTGGAGACGACGAGTGGGCAAGTACAGCAGTAGGGGTGTGCCGGAGTGTTGAGGATTTTTTGCAGCAGAGTGCGTACCATTTTGACGGTCTTGGCTTGCTGCTGCAGCTCCGCGCACGTGTGTTACCTCGAGGGCGTCACACCCCTGCTTCGCGAAGGGAATGCATACTCTTCTACCAAGCTGTGGCTCGCTCATTAAACGAACACAAAGTGCAATCCTTCGCACATCCATCGGCATTGTTGAATGTAACTGCTGCTTCCATCATACTTGCACGGGCTACTTTTCGAGAGTGTCGACACCGAGTGTGACACCTCGGCCAGCAGCGCCGTGCACACGTAGTTGGAGAGGGAGTGCGCTTCTTTATCATCTACAGCATCTGGTCAAACACTGCAAACATAGTGTCCTCTCTACGGTACACACACGACGCGGTTTGTTTGTGCACGCAGCAGCAGCAGTGTACGACAGAGTTGCAGAGCATGGCAGAGTACGTACCCTTTGCGATCTTTGCTTACTGCTCAACTCCGCGCACGTGTGCTACTTCGAGGGTGTAACACCCCGTGAGCTTAGGTACAAGTTCAGCAGTATACTTGTAACAGTATACACATCATTGGTCTGTTCCTCTAGACAGAGGGCACCGATTGTCCAGTGTTTGCGGCCTACGCCACTTATTTATCGGGTGAGACTGTTTTGGTGATATATTAACTTCACGGGAGGTAGACGACCGTTCTTCANNNCTTTGCTTACTGCTCAACTCCGCGCACGTGTGCTACTTCGAGGGTGTAACACCCCGTGAGCTTAGGTACAAGTTCAGCAGTATACTTGTAACAGTATACACATCATTGGTCTGTTCCTCTAGACAGAGGGCACCGATTGTCCAGTGTTTGCGGCCTACGCCACTTATTTATCGGGTGAGACTGTTTTGGTGATGTA